ATGGCTCTAGAGGTGCTGCAGCAGCTGAAAGAGCTGGGATCGAAGTTGGAGAGTCTTCCGGGGTCGAAAGACACCATCATTAAGCTCCTGAAGGTGAGGAATCACCCTTCTGCGCGTCTTGTTTGCGTTTGAATTCCGGTAGAAGCTTTTAATTTTTTGTGTCTGTTAGTTAATTTCGTGCTCGTTTGAGAGTATTGTTTTTTGATGCATGCTTGGGATTTTTGAAATGGGGGTTGAATTAGGGTTTGTTTTAGGTGTTGTTTGGATCAACTGGGTGCTTTCAGTTTCAGCCGAAAGTTTGTATCTTTAGTGCTTTTGAGTTGAGTGATATGGAAATCTGGGTGATGAATTGTGCATTTGTGATAATTAGGGTTCCATGGCCTTCGCCCCGTTAGTTCATCTGGAAGAGAAACATCTCGCGTCTTATATGGTTGAAACTCCAACCTTCACCTGAATATTAATTTGTTAGAGGGCCAAAGCAGAAAGTGATTTATTTTCTTAATTTCAATAAGAGTTGTTTATGAGCAGTCCTGAGGATAATATTTGTCTATTAGGTATACTTAATCAGTGTGTGTCAGTAAGAAACATTTGTTGTGTTCCAGGGTTTTGTGCAGTTGGCCTTGATAAAGCATCTATGCAGTGTGTATATTTGTTTTTCATGTGTGAATATTGGCGATAAAAGGAGAGATTGTACTACTCACATTTAATTCTATATTTCTATTAGCGACTGGCATAACACATCTTTCATCCTTCTCGTACCTAATGAAATACAAAGTGAGACATGTATTCACTGTTTCATTAGTTTTAGCATTTAAGCTTGATTACCTCCATAGGAACCGTCAATAATGTTTTCTGACCACCATCAAGAAAGATTTATTTTCATGACTGTGAGTTGGGATACATACTGCACCCAGAAAGTATTGAACTTTTAAGTTTATCCAAGGCCACCACCACTGCGAGTTCTGTAGTTCGTAGGCATAAAGAGATTTAGATTTTTGGCTGATTGTTGTATAGTAATTAAATGGTTTCTCATCCTGCAGCGAAGTGAAGCATGTCTTGCTCAATTAGATCAGTCACCTACAAAATCAGTCGTTGACTCTATGCAGCCTCTTGTAAATGCTGTAGCCAAGCCAGAGTATTTGCAACATCAGGATCGGGAGGTCAAGCTCTTTGTAGCTTCTTGCATTTGTGAAATAACTCGAATTACTGCACCCGAGGCTCCTTATGATGACAATGTCTTCAAGGTACTTGCTCCTTTGTAATAAGATTGGTGGAATTTATTCATGCAGGAGAAGTATGCCTGATGTTTTTACCTTGTATATATATGACTTGTAGTTTGACTTTTTCCGTTTTATGTTCCCAGGATATTTTTCAGTTGCTTGTGAGTACTTTCAATGGCTTAAATGATATAAGCGCTCCATCATTCAGAAGGAGGGCTGTTATCCTCGAAACTATGGCTAAATATAAATCATGTGTTGTGATGCTGGATCTTGAATGTTATGATCTCATAAAGGAAATGTTCAATACATTTTTTGCTGTTGTCAGGTGCGGCTGAGTTCGAGTGAGACAAGTTCAATTCTATACTTGGGCACTAATGTTGTCTATATTTTATCATTTCAATGACAATATGTTATGGTCGTTTATTCTTTTCATTTTTTTCGCATCAATGTAGTGCTAGTTCAGTTTTCACTTTTCATCCTCCCTAAGTTGACACGTATCTTAATTTAGCTTGATCTGTAGGTTAGAGGTTTTGCAGTTTGAGGTTTTGAACTGTTGGGTTTTGTGCATAATATATCCTCTTCACGTGCAGTTTTTTTTTTTCTTCCTTTTCCTGTAACCGGCGAATGATATCTTCATCAAGTTGACACTTGTTTCCTTTTGTTTCACGCTTCTAAATATTTTAGTGTCCTTGTATTATTTCTTGCTTACAAAATACTTGGGTTAGATGAGGGTGGTGGTGCATAACTGTATCAAGGTCATCAAAATTATTGCTACAAGTAGGCCTGCTTGTTTGCATGTTTGATGGATTCTGCATTTTAATCGTGTTGTTTTACTCACACGTGCTTGTTAGTAGTGGAGAGTCTGGTTCAGGAGTCTTTACACTGTCGAAACTCATAGAGATGTATAACTAGAAGAAGATGCACGTATTGAGAAGGTACTGGAGAAGTCATTCCCCCATTTTGTTGTTGAGAAGAATGTAACCAAAAGAATCTAAACTAAGAAATATATTTCTATGATTCTAGTGACTAGCATTGGAGGACTGGTACTTCTGTTGAAGTGTGGATGCTTCATGTGTGCTTTTCCTTTCATGTTCTTACCTTGTAGTTTCTTGGCATGCAGTGATGAGCATCCTGGCAATGTCTTGACTTCAATGCAAACGATCATGGAGGTTCTGTTAGATGAATGTGAAGATGTACCAGAGAGTCTATTGTTTATTTTGTTGTCTATTTTAGGCCGTGATAAGGAGGTACTCCGCTTTTCTCTCTCACTCAGTTCTTTTTATTGATCTGAATTTCTGTTTCTTTCTTTATTTATTACTTTCCTCTCTCTCTCTCTCTCTCTCTCTCTCTCTCTCTCTCTCTCTTTCATTGTTGACAATTGATTGAAAGTTGGAGTTTTGTTGCTAGGGTGTAATTATGGCTGCAAGGAAGCTTGCTATGAATGTGATAGGGAATTGTGCTGCAAAACTGGAACCTGGCATAAAGCAATTTCTTGTGTCATCAATGTCGGGGGATAGAAGGCCCCTTTTACCTGAGACTGATTATCACGCTGTACTGTATGATATCTACCTATGTGCCCCTCAAATCTTACCTGGGGTTGTTCCTTATCTTACCGGAGAGCTGCTGGTAATCATCATCAGTTGCTTTCATGATTTTTTTTTCTTTTTTTGTTTCTTGCATGATGAGGAGACTTTTGATTGTGGTTCCAAATATGACATGCTTACGTGTTTTTTCCTGTCCGCTACTTTTCCTTTAGGTGAGAACGCCTGGAATCGGCTATGTATTCTAGAATCTTCGTCTTTGTATTTTTCTATAGTTGCGATTGACTTGCTTTAAGAGCTCTTTACTATCTACATGCACACACACACACACACACACAATATCTATATGTATATATTCATTTGGGCAGAAGCAGTGATTTTCATTGACAACCATAATCGCGCTTATTTTAGTGTCTATAGTTTTGTGTGGGCGTTCATCAGTTTTGTTTGACTTCGACAGAGTGATCAAGTGGAGATTCGTATGAAAGCAGTTAGTTTAGTTGGGAACCTCTTTGCGTTGCCTAAATCGACTATTTCTGAAGCCTTTGAACCTGTCTTTTCGGAGTTTCTGAAAAGGCTGACTGATAGAGTAGTCGATGTCAGAATGTCTGTCCTCCACTATGTCAAGACTTGTCTTTTGGAGAATCCCTTCAGAGGCGAAGCTCATCAAATTATCTGTAAGCATTTCTACTACCGATAAAGCCATTTTTTTTTTTTATTTTATTTTGTTGTTTTTTGTATGGTTTTCAGTCTGATGATATTGAAATCCCTCAGCTGCTCTTTGTGACCGTTTGCTGGACTACGACGAGAATGTCCGCAAACAAGTTGTTGCTGTGCTTTGTGATGTGGCATATCATTCTCTCAAATCCAGTCCCTCCGAAACCATAAAGATGGTCTCAGAACGCCTTCGTGACAAATCTGTATGTGTGACTGCTGCCTCTGCAGCTTTTTTTCAGTTCATTTTTGGCAACCACCTATTCATACTCCGACAAATTTTGCTGCAAAAATCCAGGTTCTCGTCAAAAGGTATGCTATGGAGAGGTTGGGTGACATATACCGGATGTCTTGGACTAAGCATTCTACGGATTCGACTAGGGATGATGAATATGATTGGATTGTGGGGAAGATATTGAGATGCTTTTACGACAAAGATTTCAGGTAGGTTACTGGATTTTGATTCCAATAGCTGATTTAGTTTACTTGTCCTGACTGAAATACACGACCGATCAAATAAATATATTGTAAAAAAAGTAACAGTATGATCTCTAGCTGCTTTTAAAGGCAATCTAAATTCTAAACCCACTAAAAAGCTATGTAAATATTCAAAATAAGTGTTTCCAAGAATAAGTGTAAGCTTAGACCACTTTGGGTGCCGATGATACTTTAAATGTTTTTGATCCGTGATTTCTCATATATGATCTTGGGACCTGGTTTCTCTTTGCAGATCAGATACAATTGAACATATCCTATCTCTGTCCTTGTTCCCACCTGAATTTTCTGTCAAGGATAAGGTAGCAAAATGGGTTAGGTTGTTTTCTGGATTCGATAAAGTTGAGGTTAAGGCTCTTGAGAAGATACTAGAGCAGAAGCGAAGGTTTGTAATCGCTGCCTTTTTTGACACAAGTTTCTTTTTTCTTTTTTTTTTTTTTGCTTNATATACTTTACTATCTGTTATTGCTTTTGTTTATATAATTAAGTAATTGCAAGTTTCATGTTCACTACTGTGGTGCAGGTTACAACAAGAGATGCAGAAGTACCTCTCTCTCCGAGAGTCATCTCAGGTTTGCTACTAGGGATTGTACATTTCTCATTATTTGGCTTTTGAAGGTGTCATGAAATATTTAGTCGTCTTGTCCATATTCAGGGAGGTGATGACACTGAGATGAGAAAGAAGGTAATGTTTTGCTTTCGTGTCATGTCTCGCTGTTTTGGCGATCCTGCAAAGGCAGAGGAGAACTTTCAGATTCTCGACGAGTTGAAAGATGCCAAGATTTGGAAAATCTTTGCACGTCTCATTGACCCAAACACCAGCGCTCTGCGATCCAGTAGTTTACGGGTGAGGCATTACAGAAATCGGAGCTCACTCTGCTTTCTTCGGTTTATTTTATTATTCTTGTTTCTTGGAAAATTGGTGCTTGCAAAATCATATATGAGATTCTAATGTAAAGTCTTGCAGGACGATTTGCTAAAGGTCCTTGGTCAGAAGCATCGACTCTATGAGTTTCTGGGTGCACTTTCTTTGAAATGCTCTTATATGCTTTTTGACAAAGATCATGTCAGAGAGTTCCTTCTGGAAGCTCGTGTGCAGAAGTCCTCTGGAACTGCTGAGTTAATTTTGTCCTGCATGGCTATTCTTGTGGTATATTATTTACTGTTATATTGATTTACATAAACTAATTTATCATTTTATATTATCGACTTTATATTCCCTTGACATCTGTTTAACAATTTTGTAGATGATTTGTAGTTATAATTATGTATTGGAAGTGAACCGCCAATGTTAGAAACATGTAGATGACTGTGTGATGTTGGTAGAGATGGATTGTTTGTTGATGAGCTAAGATGGTTTATCATTAACATTTTTAAATGGAGACCTGAACGATGCTAGTATTGTATTGTTATTCCTTGTTTTAAATAAAAACCGAGGGTGTGATCATTATCCTTTTCCTTCTGGATTTCTTTTTCTGGCTAGATAATAGTTGCGGAAACAATTTTCTATAGGGAAGAATAATATTTGAGAGTGTGTGGGGATATGGGATGAAATTTAATGATGGAAGTTAATCTGAATATCTGTTATAGAAATTGTACAATAAGGATTGGCCACCAGACATATGTGAACGGGGGAAGAGTAGAATCAGGTAGGAAATATGTAATGATTGGTGATTGATGATTCATTAGTGAATAGAAATGACTGGTGGTGGAAAAAAATGAAGGTGAGTGAATAGTGTTACTTTTGGAAATGCCCGTAAGCAGCCCCATCTTTCTATTGCAGCACTAAAATAAAAGGGACTAAGATCTTGAATTTTTTATTTTATTTTATTTTATTTTTTGTTTTATGGAATGAATTCCCAGATTCTAGCACGATTTTGCCCTCTGTTGTTTGGTGGAACTGAAGAAGATTTGGTTCATCTACTTGAGGATGATAATGAAATTATTAAGGAGGGCACATTGCATATTCTTGCAAGGGCTGGGGGAACTATCAGAGAAAAATTGGGTGTCTCATCAAGGTTAGATTATCTATAAATCACTTGCTTTTCGTGATGTTTCTTCTACGTTGTTTCTTTTTTGGATGGCATTTTAATAAGTTACAGTCCTGCTTATAGATCATTAGACCTTATTCTGGAGCGCATAAGCATTGAAGGTAGCCGAAGGCAGGCTAAGTATGCTGTTCATGCCCTGGCATCCATCACAAAAGATGACGGTCTTAAGTCACTCTCTGTTCTTTACAAGGTTTTGCCTTGCTTATTCTTTTCCTTCCATAGTCATTATATTATTTTATCATTTGCTCTTCTTTTTCAACAGTTCATTATAGTTTCTTCACATTGTGATTTTGTTCTCTCTTCTAAACAAATAGAGGTTAGTTGATATGCTTGAAGAGAAATCCCACTTGCCAGCTGTTTTACAATCTCTCGGATGCATAGCACAAGCTGCTATGCCAGTCTTTGAAACAAGAGAAAGTGAGATTCAGAATTTCATTAAGGAACACATACTGAAGCAGGGACATGTATGCCATTAGACTCGAAAGTTTTTTGTTTTGTACACTCTCTTTCTTATTATATATTTGTTATAACAGTTTGCATTACACAGGTAACTGAAAACAAAGCAGATGTTTGTTGGGATGATATAAGTGAACTTTGTTCTTTAAAGGTCTTGCAATGCTTCTTATACTTCGTCTCTCAAAACAGTTGTTTTCTTGGAGTAACTTTGGCAATAAATTGTCATTTTTATTGTCCCTGCAGATTTTTGGTCTTAAAGCATTGGTCAAGAGCTATTTACCTGTAAAAGATATCCAGCTTCGTTCTGGAGTTGATGATTTAATTAATATCATAAAAAATATACTCTTCTTTGGTGATATATCAAAAGAAATCAAGTCAAGGTTTGTTTGGATTCGTTAGAGATTTCATGTTTATGAATTCTTTATTTTATTGCCCTATTATGGCCTAAGATATTCCGGTGTCCTCTTCCATGTTACAGTTCAGTTGATAAGGCACATTTGAAACTAGCTGCAGCAAAAGCTATCCTTCGCCTATCAAAGCACTGGGAGCATAAGATTCCTGTTGATGTTCTTTACCTCACTTTGAGAACTTCAGAGGTGTTTACTTCGCTGAGCGTGCACTTGGAATTTTGTATTGCATATTAGCTAAAAGAACCAACATCTAATAATTGCTTAACCCTTGCCCTTGGATTTGTAGGATAACTTTCCTGAGGTCAAAAAACTTTTTCTCAGCAAAGTTCATCAATATGTGAGGGACCGTATTTTAGACCCAAAGTATGCCTGTGCCTTCTTGCTGGATGTTCCAGCTTCACAGGCAGATTTTGAAGAGGTATGGTACTACACGATGTATTTCTGTTCTTATTTGTGTACCCGCATTTCATCTAAAATATGAAACTGCAAAAGGTTAGTAATATACCCATTTGCTTAATCTGTTTGGCAGAATAAACGCTGTTTGAATGACATCATCCAAATGTGTCGGCAAGGCAGGGGACTCAAAATCTCTGTGCAGGCTGATGCCATGTCACCTTCCCTTTATCCAGAATACATTCTCCCATATGTGGTCCATTCTCTTGCTCATCATCCTTCGTTCCCTGATTTAGATGAATGCCAAGATGTCAAATCATATGAACCCATGTTCAGGTACTTTGAAGTTTTGGCGATTAGTAGTATTCGACTGAAGCTTATAGCTATAGGAATTTTGATTGAATGAACTTGTGACAGTTTATAATAAAGTGTTCTAGCTATTTTTTAATTAATTGATTTTTTTTTTTTTTTTTTTTGNGTTTTGCTTTGCTTTGCTTTGCTGAATCATGCCACCCTTCACTCGTTTGGAATTTCTAGATATCTGAATCTCAGAACTGAGTGTGTTTTATCAGGTGGTAGGCTGCTAGTCTTTCATTTGGACCGCGTATTATGATAGTTTAATAAGTGCATTTCGAATATGTTTTCTGATATTGGATCGTCATTGAAATATGTAAGAAACGTTTGGAACTACTGACTACTCATTACCTCATATTAAGGACATAACTTTGTCTTTATTTCCTTCCATTTCTGCTATACATGCATGCATTAAATACTGCTAGACTTTTACTGTTACTATTCATAACAGCATCTGCTTGTTGTGCTTTTGAAAAGGATTAGATGGTTTATTTGGAGGTAATTAAGTGTGTCTTGATGGTGTTTTGACTTCTTGAACTTCATTATCTGAAAAGAGTTGTTAGTCGCTATTATTGCCTCATTTATAATAAATCACACATATTTGTTATATATACAGTAATGTAAGTGAGAGGGTTTCTTTCTTATGTATTTGATGTATGCACATTTTTTTTCAGGAAGTTGTACTTGTTCTTATCTATGCTATTGCATGGGGATGCAGAGGGCAAGTCGGACGACAGTATTAGCAAGGACAAGGATAGCATTAAATTGTTGTGTTCAATTTTTCAATCTATCAGACACTCAGAAGATGCTTTTGACCCGGCTAAGTCCAAGGTTTGATTTTAATTACCGTTGGATAAAATAGGATGGTATACACGTCCATGAGATATTTCGTTATTTATTGCCAAATCTCGACATTAGAATCACATGTTGCAGAATCTGTATGCCCTGTGTGACCTTGGTGTGCCAATTATTAAGAAGTTAGCTTCAAACCAAGATGAACTTCAAGATTTGGGTGCACCTGTGCCCCTAACTCCTGTTCTTTTTAAACCTCTTGAGAAGAAAGAAGAAAACAACTCGCTGGTATGTACGATTATTGATATTGTTATATTTCACCCTTTCAGTCTTTTCTTGTATGAATCAATGAGATTAAACATGAGAATAAGATGGACTTGCTATTACCCCTACCTGTGTTTGTTCTGATCTTTATAAATAGCTAAAACAAAAATCATATTAAACTGGAACTGCTCCATCACAGTTTAGACCTACATAATCCGAAGTGTCGGTTAATTTTACTATGGTTGATATTTCCACTTTGCACGAGTTACTTATCTTCAGCAATTACACATTTTCCCTGGAATTGTTAACTAATATGTCTTTCGGATGCACTTTGAGATCAGAGTGAGGGCACTTGTTGAGGTCAGAAAATTGCTAGTATCATCTATCATGTCACAGAAGTATGACTTTTTGCAGTTGCCATTTTACAAAAGAACTATGTGCAAATATGTGTCTCCAACTTACATTTGGTTGCTTAATTATGCTTCATTATACATGTGTATGATTTGTTAACTTTCTCGTTGATATTTAGGAGAGTGAAGGGAAAACATGGCTGGCGGATGAGGGCATCTTTTCCCACTTTGAATCACTTGAACTCGAACCTGCTGAAATCGTAAGATGGTGTTTGTTTATAAATTTTTTTCAACTCATACTCAATTCATGCTCAAAATTTAACTCAACTTTAACCCAACTTCACTATCCTCAATATTATCCATCCAATCATTCTTACACATCACACCAACTTTAATTCAGTGTTGATCCACTCACATAATTTTAACTAACCATCAACTTCACATCATCTCTCTCCTACTTTTACATTAACTCAACTTTAATTATTTTATTTAAAATATTATTTTAATATAAACTCAAAATCCCACTAACAACTAACCATACAGCCTTTATGAGAATTAACTCTGGTTAACCAATAAAAACTCATTTTGAGGGGATATATTTGTATCCAAACACTCCCGTAAGTCTTGAAAATTATTCTGCCTAGTTGCAATAGGTTTTCCTTTCATCCTTTGTTGCATTACAACTTACAAGGTCTAATCGTGTGGTACTGGTCCAACCTCAGGTTCATCCCTTAGTTTCGGAGGATGACATCATGAAGGACAGTGAAACAGAAGGCAATGAGATGCCACTTGGGAAATTGATGCAACGCCTTAAAGCGAAGGCTGCGAGGACCAAGAAAGAGGCCAAGACTGAGTCTTTGAGGACCAAGAAAGAGGCCAAGGATGAGCTGGCACAAGCTGGAGTGTCGAACGAAAATGATTTTGATATCTTGAAAATGGTCAAGGAAATCAATTCCGATAATGCGGGCACCAGTGTGAAGCTATCTTCCAATGGTCACGAAAATGCTCGAAGAAAGAGAATTCAGAACGAACCCCATAATAGTCGAAGGCTGAATGGTGAGTCGACCGATATTCCCGTGCCCAAACGTAAGAGAACATCTTCAGCTCAAGCTCACAAGACAACTGTAAAGGGCTCCAGGAAGCCTACTAATGTGAATGAGGAGGATATTGGTGCTGACGTGGATAAGATGAATGAGGAGCCTCAAACTAATCCGGAGGATCAACATATACAAGACAAAACTGATGAAAACCCAGAATCGGAAATGCTGTTTTCTCGTATCCGGAAGAAACTGGGCTCTTCCTCTAAGCAGAAAGGTAAACGAGTGTCTGATAGCGGTGAGGCATTTAGGGTCTCCTCAGAAGCTAAGGTATGATTTGTGCTCAATAGATGAAATTGATCGAAAGGAAAGCATTTGGTATTTCATGATTATTGATGTGGTTTTTTCACCTTTATCTTATTACGTGCAGAAGCCTAAGAAAGTCCCAAGTTCTGAGAATAGCCCACGGTCAATCGTTGATTCCAAGTTAGGATCCATGAAGAAGCAGAAAACAAAAAGTTTGGGTGGGTTGGGAAAGGTTAGTGTGTCATATATCTCTCATCTTGTGAACTTTTTTTGAGATCGCGAATAAGAACATGCTAAATAGTAGATGCAGAAGGCTGCTAATAATGTATTACTACATGCTTGTATGTATTTTGTATTATTACTGCATCCAAATCTGTCAACTTGTATGTCACTATGGAATCCCGGAACACATTTAAGCAACACATCATTATTTTGGAACATCAAACTCTATTGTGTTTTATGTCATCGTTCAAATTATTTTTTGTTATGGAATCTCAGCAAACATTCTCTTGCCTTGCGGTTCAATATTTAAGAATAATACACAGTAAGAACTTCTGAGGACCTTTTGAAGAGGTTATTAGTTAGTCAATAATGCTAAGGAGCCAAGTTCAATATTTAAGAATAATACACAGTAAGAACTTCTGAGGACCTTTTGAAGAGGTTATTAGTTAGTCAATAATGCTAAGGAGCCAACAATTGGCTCCATATCATTACTGATTAGTTAGTATCTTTTGAAACTTTCTTCTCCAGTGTATCAGTGCACTTTCTTTAATCCTTTTCTGTTCTGGGTAAAGTTTCCTGCAACTCTGTTCAGTTGAAGCGTAAAATGGTTTTGGCTGATCCTGTTGTCTTTTTCTTGTTCCCCCCATTTTCTGTCATCAACAGTGCACTACAAAAGAAAATGGAAGTTCTGCAGAAGACTTGATTGATCTCAGAATAAAGGTTTGGTGGCCGATGGATAAGAAGTAAGTTCTTTTCAACGTGACCTCAAATTTTTATCTAATTGGCACATCTGTAACCTTAGGGAGAAGGTTTATAAGGTAAAGACGAGCATATAGAATGTTACTACCCTTGCAGGTATTTCTTCTCAGTGATTCTTCATTTCAACTCCTCTTAAACATTCTAGTTAGGCGACCCCTCCCAACCTCACTACTCCACGCATGACCTGAACTAATATAGTAATATGACGAGCCAAAAATGCTAAAGAATGTATTTTCTACTTCTGTAACTATGACTTTTAACTCAAATTGTTTTCACCTTCCTTTAAAGGACCATCATTCATGAAGCTTTATGTCATCATTTTTTATTTGGTCACTTTACTGCATTCCATCTTCATGCTAGCACGGTTCTTGGGTATGAGACGAAAGATTTTGTTGAATCTTCAAATTATGATGATAATATGCTATGCCTGTCTGACTTTCAACAGGTATTATGAAGGTGTTGTGAAGTCGTACGATACTGAGAAAAAGAAGCATGTGGTATGCTGCATTTTTTAGTGTTTTGCCTTCATCGTTGTACATAATTCTTAAATGAATCCTCATGATTTCTCTTTTCTATTGATCATATATTTTTCTTCCTCTTCTTCCTTTATTTTTCTTTTGGTTTTGAAGATATTATATGATGATGGGGATGTGGAAGTTCTTCGATTAGATAAGGAACGCTGGGAGCCTGTCGAAAAGGATCCAAAGGTCAATGCCTAAATACTCACTAATTATCGTTCTCTTAGACGTAGATGTTAATTATTTTCTATTACCCAAAATTTATGGCGCAAGATTTAACACATTCTTCAATACTGTTTGCAGAGATCTGGTTCATCAAAGGGTGTGTCTCAGAAAGGAGGGTTAGTGCTCCACCTCGATATCCGTATATATGTTGCTTTATAATTTACAGAGTTCTAAATTCTAAATATATTCTAATCGTGTAATGGTAAGAATTTATCAATGTTGTATCATCCATACAGTAAAAGATACATGTCTAAACAACAGTCACTACTTTCTCTTAAGGTGCAATGTTTTCTTCTTTTCCCCTTTATATTCTTGCCACCAGATTTTCTGTTTACAAGCAAACATTTTATTATGAAATTGCTTATGTACACTCTCACACACTCACACGTAATAATATGTATGTACTTAGAGATCTAAATATACTGAGAAACTTCAAGGATAATATCATAGACATCAGTTATGAGAAAGACAAATTGAAACTTTGAATAATTTGGCGATATAAGACTTATCAAGGGGGAAGAAGGGTGGGGGATGGGGGGTGGAGATCCCTGTCCCCAAATTTGAGGGGCACGATAGATGGTTATGTTGTATTTTTTTAATTTTTTTTTTTTTTTCAAAACCACACCAACTTCCATCAATGGTAATGAAAGTGATTCCTTATTCTTGACAAACCACTACAAATATATTAGTACTCCACTACTATCATTTTCAAACTCATACCCGTTTCCTCATAAAACCATGCACCCCCTAAATCGATCACGCTGAAGATATGAATGTTTTTTTTTTCCCCCCATTTTTACTTGTGGTGTTCTCAGTGCTTTTAGTTTTGTGTGATAGTTTAGTTTCCACGATAGTCACAGCAATTCATTGATAATGATTTAGAGGAAAATTTTGTAAGTGAAACTAGTGCTCGTTCTGTTTGCTCTAGAAGATTTTGCCCGTATTATCGTAGAAGATTTGGTTGTTTTTGTAACTTGATGTTCATCTATATAATTTATGCCCAAAAGATTTTTTCATCGAAGCTACATGTCCCGTAAAATATATTACCTTTTACATACACTCGCGATAAATATATATTCCATGTGTTATCTATTGCCAAGTTACGTGATATTTACTAGTTTCTTAAGACGTTTCTTTCCCCATAAGTATGATTTTCACTTGACATAATAAATTATGACATGTTATCAACCGCTAGTTTAAGGTAATATTGTGTAACCAAACATAAGATGTTGTATTTGGATTGGAAAATAGGAAATCTACCATAATGAAACGAAAAATAGTTAAGAATTAGAGCCTAAGAGTTCGGAATCTATCTTATCAAAACGAACCAAATGAATTGTTTGTGGTTCTCAAATCATTGTCTTGAAGTCCATCGGTCGAAACTGACCCTTAAAAAGTTCAATCTCAGACATCCCTTTGGATCTCCACGTGATATTATTGCAAAAAATCATTAGGAAATTTTTTCCCTTTGTTTTCTCACTTGGTTGGTATCGAGGACATTGTTTCTTTTATGAGGAACATGTATGCTTAGATTATATAACATATAATCTGAAATATTTTCATATTCCTAATGAGTAATGAAATCTTTCTACTCAATGGTTTACATTTGTTGTATAACTTTCCTCCCTCGCAAATCTCTGTTCTCAAGCAAGTGTATGCCCAAGGCAATAATGCCTTTTGACTATAGGATGAATACTTTATAGAAATCGTACTCCAGGTAGATTTATTTGCCTTTTTAGGGAAGCTATTCATTGCATAGCCCTCCTGCTTTTATATTACGACCGTACAAATATCACATTCCGTGTAATTCCTTTTTTCTTTTATCCCAGCACGTGTGTTTACTATTTTCTGCACGTGGAGAAACAGTTATTTGCGTGTTCATTAATTTGTTTTATATGCAGATTATCCGGGAATGGAAAGAAATCAAGCCGATCCCCTAATTACATAGAAGATTTGGAGAAGTGAGTTGCTTGCCACTTGTCACAGTTCAATATTTCGAGACATTTCATCTTTCTTTTCCTTTTTCCTTTTTTGGCAATTGGTTTATATATAATTGAGTTCACTGGCAGATCTCTGACTTCTCAAGTGCGACGAAAGAGAACTCCACGGAAAAATCCGAACAAAAAGCCAAAAATTCCAGATATTGCCCCCCCTGAATCGGACCCCATGTCGCATTCTGAGGATTCAGTCTCAGGTGAATGATCCAACAAGACAATTCATTAACTTCTATATTAAAAAACGAGCATAAACAATATTTAGCCAATTTTTATTCCTTAATTCTCTTCAAACGGTGGTGTGCCCTTTTTTCCCCAAGAGAGATGTATCTGTAGTCAACTNCCTATTTTGGACCGTTTAACCGAGCAATACATTTTTTTTTTCTATAATTATCTCTCAACTTTACACACATGTTTTTTGCTGGCAACAGAGAAGGAAGAGTACAAAAGAGTCAAGAAGATGGTGGAGCTATTAAACAAGGAAGAAGATCCTGCTGAGGTGGACTTGAATGAAGGAGAAGATTTGGAAGAAACAGAGAGTGAAAATCTTGGTGGCTCGTTCGATGAAGCTAATGGATCATCTGATAATGAAACTGTGGTGTCGCTATTAAACAAGTTGAATGAAGGAGAAGATTTGGAAGAAACAGAGAGTGAAAATTGTGGTGGCTCGTTCGATGAAGCTAATGGATCATCTGATAATGAAGCAGTTTCATATTCAGACAAGAAGCCGTCGAGTGAGAACAATGAAGAATTTGAAGGGGAGAGTGACAGAAAGGCTTCTAGCTCTGATACTGCAGATGTGGAGTTTTCAGATGACGAGCCTCTGGTGATTATTTTAAGCATTTTGCACATATATAGGTTTGACTTGGTTACAAAAATGGCCCAGCTGCTCTTTCAGAAATTGCAA